AGACTTTATACTTCCGACGATATTCGCCTGGAAAGAAAAATACCATTTTTTTTCAAAGAGGTTTAACTCCTTAAACATGAGTTAGGGCACGTATAAAAAAATACGTCTCTTAGATTTTCGTGTTTAACAACATATTTTATGGAAAATCAAATCGGTTCCGGACAGTTGTGAAACTTCCCTTGTAAGAAATGTTGAATATCAATTAGTAAACCTACATTTGTTTATATGACTTGATCACTTACATATTAGCAGAGAGAAACCTGAGAGCGGCCATCCCGGCTTTTTTTAATGTAAAAAAAGCTTCTAACTCCTCGTACACTAGCAGCACCAATGTCTATTTTCGAGCTGCGGGAACTACGTACCACGTCCATTTTTGAGACCCCCCCGTACTTGAAGAAAAAACTATTTTTCGACATTGTTGATAAATAAATTTATATTATGATGCTACAGCCACGAATTGCAGATAAAGGTAATATTATGCATATATGTCGGAAAATAGTTTTTTCTTCACATCTATAATTTGCGGTGTACCACGTCCACTTTCGACGATACGATTTTATCGGCGTGACAAGGGGGTCTCGAAAATGGACGTGGTACGTAGTTCCCGCAGCTCGAAAATGGACGTTGGTGTCGCTAGTGTACGGGGAGTTAGAAGCGTTACAGGAAAAAGGCCAGGATGGCCGCTCTCAGGTTTCTCTCTGATATGTATGTACACACCAAAGACATAGAGAATGGACTGCGCGATCCGTGTGTGAAAATGGTCGATAGGGATGAGAGAAAGGGACCGTGGCAGACGGTCATTTCTATCTCTTTCCATTCAATGGTGTAATGGGAGAGAGAATAAGACGGGGATTGGCCGTCTTCCACGGACCTCTCTCTCATTATTGTCGACCACATTTGATACACTACTTAGATACGGATCGCGCAATCCATTCTCTATGCCTTTGGTACATACGCATTGAAGGCCAGAGGTGGCGCGTTCATCTACACTCAAGTGCGACTAAAGTGAGACTCGATTATTGAACAGCAGTGTACATAAGGGCCTGCGCACAATAGAGGAATAAGAATTAGATATTAAGATTTCAACCTATCAGAAACCATATATTCCGATGTAATCAGTTTCTGATAGGTTGAAATCTTAATATCTAATTCTTATTCCTCTATTGTGCGCAGGCCCTAACCCGTATCGTATCAATACGGCGTACCATTATCGATAGAGGAGAGAGACTGTGGAGACCTCTAGTCGAAGACGATATACATGATAACTGGTACTGCGAAAGTACAGTGTATGATTGCTTAACCTGAAAATAGTCGTTATAACATTAAAATTAAATATTAAACAGTAACTGACTGGATGTTCAGTTGAACTGCACAAATTTCTATTAGGACCATATATTGAACAGATGTATCATAGCTATACACCCATGATTATACAGGTGTTCGTGGATCATTGAAGTGCAGCGGTTTCCAGGCGATTTTAGAAGTCAAGGATATAGCAAATGGCGGTATGCAATCGGATGGGTGACCGTTTCGAAGTACTATGAAAGTAGTTCCCGAATTCAGGAAAAAACTTATTTTTTTAATCATAATTTTATGATATGTATTCTGTAATAAGATATTAATAATATTACTTATTTTAGCAATAAAACTATAAAATTAATTAATTTTAGTAACATGCGTACTTAAGGCGTACATTATCGGTACGGCGTACTAAAAGTACGGTGTATCGATGCTGTACCCTTTAGGTACGCACGTACCTGACAAGTACGGTATCGGCACACATAGTACGCCGTACCAATATCGTGGAGGTATTTTGCTATCTGGCTTATACTATGTGCTTCCAAGCATGTATGTGGTGGGGCGTATTTTCGTTATGCAATCAGAAGCAACCGCGACTAAGATTATGTTTGTCTTCTGATTTCTAAGTATATTTAAGATTTAAATTGAGAGAACTGACGTCATTTTGATGATAATTTGCTTAATTCGAGTAAATATTTACTTCTAGATGGCGCAGTGAACATTGGTTATTGGAAGTACGGGGTGTCTCATAAAACCAACTTCATACAGAGTACAGACACTACATAAATCATTAACACCATAATATCATTATTCATATTTTTTGACTGCATAAATTTTATTTATTGAGATAAATATAAGATTATGGCATACAAAAACATAAGCGAATGAGCCAGTTACAGTAGATAGCCTAAGGTAATAACGTAAGCAATACCAAATTCAAAATGTAGATTTATTTACTGCTTAAGTTTTTGTGTACCATAGCTTTAATGGTAGATATGTTAAGCAAATTATATAAATAAGAGCTTTTGTTTTGCTCTTTTAATATTTTCTATAATACTAGACTTTGGGACGCCTTGTATATGAAAATTAATGAGCCGGGATTTCCTGTGATTGGCTGTAATACGTATTTCAAGGATAGAGGTCAGTGTGTTTTCAAGGTTCCAGAAAATAAAAAAGTTCGTAAGCTATATATATTTTCGTCTTCGAACGACGCTGGCGATTTGATAATCCAATAAAGTTACATCGCGCGTCGCGGTGATCCGATTGTGACATCTGAGTTCTATTTTAATATACGTGTCTTTTTTCTGATACAGTAATACTTTTTTACTACGACAGTAAAGTGTAATTACATTTTCGGCCATCTACTTCGGAATTGATATTTTCAACAAAATGCTACGTAAGTATCCTTAAAGAAAATTTTAATTTCTTTTAAGAAATTAATATTAATCTTTGTAGCTTGATTACGTATGTATTATTTGAATCTCTTTTAGACAAATATTTCCAATTTTTGTATGAAAAGAAGTAATAGCTGGCTATTGTTTTTCATATTGTATATGAACAAACAAAAAAATTGTTCTTCAAAAATATTTTTTTTGGAAAATTTCGTTATACTTTTCAAAACATTTGTATATACTAAAAAATTTTTTTAACACATATATATTTTATTATGATAAGTTTTATTGTATTTTCTCTATTGTTTGTATAAAAAAAAAAGTGGAAGCTTGAAAAACATAAAATTTGTGGTTAAAAAATAGAATATTGATACATTGGATATTGTTTTGTTTTCTTCCCATTTTAGTCTTTTGTTTTAATCTGCATTTTTTAAAATAAAAATATTCGAAGTGAAATAAATTCTTTATTTAATTTTAATTTTAAAACAATATTAAAGTACAACAGAAAATCTAATTAATGTGACAAAATATATTTTTATAAAAAAATTATAAATTTGGTAAATAAAATAAAATGATAAATCTGTAAAATGTTTTTAAACTCAGTTTTTTTACTAAAGCTTATAAATTGTCCTATATCATGTGTTTTTTAATTAACTTAAATTCATACTTCTATTAAATCGTCTCTCTGCATTTTAAATGTTTTATATAGTTAAAAATATCTTTAATGGTAGGCACATCTTTATATGTTTTTGGTAAAATTAATTAATCATAAAACAGAATGCTTCTTTTTCTTTTTTTAAAATAATAATTACAAAATAATACGTAATTAATAATCTTAAATATCTTCGTTGCTATTATATCTTTTATTGGTAAACTATGAAAAATAAGAACTTAGTTTATATAACCTCGAAAAAAACATTATTTATCTTTAAATTTGTATTTCTTATTGTTAGCTATATTATATCTGCTCTGTGTGCACATAAAATAAATATAATAAATGTAAGATCAGTAAAGTGACATAAAATAAATACCTGTTATAAAAAACACATATCAGTATGAAAAATTATTTTATAATTTTCTCTTTCTGTAATTTAATATATTTTTTTAAAGAGAGAAATGAAAGAGAAAAAGAATAAATAAAACAAATTGTTTAAATTGAAGAAAAACTATATTCTAAAATATTAATATATTGTATTATTTATAGGAATTGCATCAATATTCCTGCTGTTTACCATCTCAGAAATCATTGCTCAAGATTGCGAGAATAAAGATACACAATGTTCCACATCATCAGAATTTAATCAAGATACCAATTGGCAGTCAGCTACTTCAGTTTACGATTTCCATGCAAACGACATTTTGGGCAAAAAAGTCTCATTAGAGAAATATCGTGGCCATGTTCTTATTATTGTTAATGTAGCCAGTAACTGTGGCTTAACAGATAGCAATTATAAACAACTCCAGCAATTATATAATAAATACAGCGATAATGGTTTGCGAATTCTTGCGTTTCCTTCTAATCAATTTGCTGGTCAGGAGCCGGGCACTTCTGAGGAAATACTAAACTTTGTGAAACAGTACAATGTTACTTTTGACATGTTTGAGAAAATTGATGTAAACGGAGAGAATGCTCATCCGCTGTGGAAGTGGCTGAAGACACAGAAAGGCGGACTCATTACCGATGCAATTAAATGGAATTTTACTAAATTTATTGTAGACAAAGAAGGTAAACCAGTAGAAAGATTCTCTCCGTCTACTGAACCATTAAGTATGGAAGAAAGTTTGAAAACATACTTTTAAGTTTGTACAACGCTTGCTTCCTTTCTTTCTGTATTTTATACATATTTTTAATAATTTTTTTATTTAGTACACAAATATAAAATTATATATGCATGTAATTATATAATATTAACAAAGTAAGGAAGATTATCTTTTTCCTTTATTATATAATCTTTTTTTTAAATATGCTTTGTCACATAATGGTGTATGGAAAAATACATTGTATTTAAAGACAATATAAATAACAAAAATAAAGTTATTTTATAAATATATGATGACCTTGAGATTACTTGTTCACCGAAAATTTATAGATATATATACGATTCATAAAAATATTAAGAAATATTAAACTTTTTTGGTTTAATAATAAAAAATTGAGTTATTTATTGATTATTTCACTTAAAAATAGTTATTAAATTTTGTTAGTTCTTTACATAATATTTAATAGTTTTTAAAGATATGTTATTTATTTTATAAATTTCTAACAATATAAATGTAAACTGTACAAATGTAAACAAAATTCATCTGGATTGTCTCATTGTCCTATTCACTCTTGAAATGATTATACTTATGGGCGAATATAATACATGCATTCCTTAATGACTTTAATATAAATAAATATAGATTTAATAAATTATATAGAATTTCATGCAGTTTCTTTGACACTGATGATAGCCATTTCATGATCTGCTGTAATTTTATTTCTTCTATTGGGTATTGTGATTGCAGCCTCACAGGTCTAAAAGGAAGCAACATTTAATGTTAATCTACTCATAAATCTCTGTAAAATATATACGTTATATGGATATTTTGCAAACCTTTACGTTAACAATACAGTTCCGGTGACCTTGACTTTGACATATATTATCAAGATCATAATCTCAAGTAACTTTATCTTCAATTAGATAACGATCTCTTATAGTTTCTGAAATAGTTAGAATTAAAGTGAAATTTTAATAATAAATCTTGATCTTGGAAGACAAATTCCGATGACCTCAAGCACAACAAATGTTGTCAAGATCATAATCCTGAGTGAAGGATCAAAAGTCGCTCATTATATTAATTGAAAAATTATTAAATAAACAATATAAATGATAATATAAATGATGACAATATATAAATATGTGTTTAACTTTATAATTTAAACCTATGTAAACCTCATTTCGTGTTGTAAAGTGTATGTGTAGACTGTAGAAGATGTATGTATTCCTTAAAATTAATGTATTCCTTAAAGTTACCTCAACAATGATTAATTAGTTACATGATACAGAGTGTTTTATTAAAAAAAAGTTTTCGTCTAAACTAGAAAAATGTAATTGTTATATTTGCACGAAGTCCAAGTAACTACTCTCTCTCTCAATGTAGTTGAGTCACTATTTCACTACCAAGTAATAGTGCATACAATTTATTACCGTGACTATTTTTATAACATTCAACACTACTTTAGTTTCTATTACTTTATATAACTAGTAACAGGGATTTCAATTGTAAAAGTTACCAAATTTATACAATAGTTGCCAGAACTATTTCGTTTTCTTTCAGTACGTTTGCACACACTATTACTATTTCTATATACACTAAAAAGTAATTTTACAAAAGAAAGAGGGATGTATGAACATGTATGGATATATTTCATATATGATTATACACATATTTATGTATGTTTATATATATTTATACATATTCACGTATGAAACATTTTTTACCGGATGGCAACATATGTCAAGGTCAAAGTCAAGATCATCGGAGCTGTGTTTGTTTTAATGTAAAGATTTACTAAATATTTTCTATTTATATATAATATTTTATATAAAATTATATAAAATTATAATACTAAAACAACTATTGTAAAATAAATGCAACAATGGCCACTTTTAAAACGTAAATGCTGAAATAGTACTTATTATTAGCAATTAAGATGTAGGCCCATTTATCGACCACAGTGATGCGTTCATCTTACTCCACAAATACAATAACAGTAACGATGAATTACCCATAGTTTCTTGTTGTAATTCTACCTTGTAGGAAGGATTGTCGTATGCTGACGTCGTTTTACGAGGTGATATGTCAGCCTTACTACTTGTTCGTCTTTTCATCAATATCATTGATAGAATCAAGGTCGATAATATCGCTAAAGAGGCCACGATGGCTACTACCACTAGTGGACCATAGTAATCTCCATCATGTAGAGGAAGCGTTACAAATTTCCCGGCTAAAGAAAAGATCCTATACATAACTTTATAATAAAGATATAAAAAAATTAAGTTATTTTAAAAACTATGTTCTTATTAAGAAATAAGGATGGAAAAGAAGATTGTGCACATTTTGTAACGATATATGTATAATATAATGTAAGAAGTGAATCAAAGATGTCACTATTATCGAATTTGGAATTAAAAAAGTCCCTGAATCGATAAAACAGATGACTTTAGCATCGCCTTAAAAAATTCTGAAAAAATTCTGAAAAAATTCTCAGAACTTTATGAGAAGAAAATAAACAATTTTTGTCTTGCTATTTTTCTGTAAAGTTAATAGTAGTTGATATTTGAGAAAAAAATTATTGAAGACTAATATTCGACAATTTTTAGTAATTAATATCTTGTTAACTATTGCGAAAATTGCAAAAATGGTAGAGGATTTTTTGACTTATTGTTAGTTTAGTCCATTCTACTTGGTCACGAGCGTTGTCGGGTGAATTACGGGATACCTTGTGTACGTCTGTCTATATGAATATTGTTACCTTGTTGAGCCACGGTAATCGGTAAGAGAACACCTGGCTTAGTGACAAAATCCTGTACATTACTTTTTTTTATTCTGCCATTTGTTAAATAGATTTCAAGCCATAATCGGTATCTAGTTCCAGGTTTTAGATCATTGATCATAGTTTTAGCGTGAGAGTCTCTTTTTGCAATTTTAAAGGTACTAGTATCTTCTTTGCCAGTGTCGCTCTGGTAAATTGCACGATAAATATTCACGTATTTATCTTCTGGATAAGGCACACCACTCCAAGATACTTCTACGTCCGTTGATTTGATAGTTTTAACTTCAACTTTTACATCGAAAGAATAGGGATCTGGTTCCATAAACGTTGTTATCTGAAACTACAATAGATAGTAATTTAACATTATATAATATTCTTTTTGGTTATGTCACTTTATTTTGTGGAATTAATATTATGTAACCATTAACTGTTTATCTCCGAATTTTTATATTTATGATTATTATAAATAATATATAATAGCATATTCAGATGATGCAGATGATTATTACGCAAAAAAATTTTTTTAATTAAAAAACTACAGAGATTTGATTATTTGTGGAACCTAGCACCCCACAAAATATTTTTAGTAATAATGAAATCGCCAATATCAGATAATTTAAATTATTGTTAAAATACTTTACCGTTTTTTCGCTTATTAACTCTGTTAATTGTCCTGGGAACGGTATAAAATAAATACCAACTTCATATGTGGTTGATGGTTTCAGATTTTCAATTACGTAATTCGTTACTGCACGATGGATCAATGGCGTTGCTGCATAAACTTTACTATCATATTCTTTATATCTCAGCTGAACACCGTCTATGAATTGCAATTCGTATTCCGTGAATTTCTTCCATATAACGTTAACCCAGGTTGAATTCGTTTCTGCTATTCTAAGTTCGGCGTCAATTGGTATTTGTGGTGGTAGGGTCGTTACCTCGACACGTTTTTCTAATGTACGCACATTGTAAATTTTACTGGTTGGACTATTGGTTAAGTCCTTCAGTTTCACCATAATTTTTACTTTGTATTCAGTCATCGGTTTTAGATCACCTAATTCAAACTCAAGTTGGGGTGTTGCGATTAAGTCATTAGGAGGCGCAAATACTTGTGCTTTCCACGTGGATGGATCGAAATTTCTATAAAACGAGAAATTTTATTATTCTTATAAGATATTCAGAGATATAGAAAATGAATATTTCGTATTCCATGTCACAAATAAAATAGAGTTTGAGAAGTTCCATCTTTTACGATTTTATTTGCTCTCCATATTTACGTCTTCATTTACGAGAAATCAGTTCATATAGAAAAATGTACAAGAGATGATATCTAGATAGATATCTAGATCCAGAATTTAAAGCAAAATTCTCTATAACAAGTTATCAAACTGATATTACAAAAGTACTATAAACATATTTAGTGGAACAAGATGAAATAGTACTTCAATTGTGTCTCACTTTAGAGTAAATATTTAATTAAAGAAAAAAATAAAAGGAATAGTATGTATGTTATTTTCGGCACTCAGTAAAATACCTGCGTGCATGTGTGGTAGAATAGATTAGTAAACCATAAAAGACGGAACTTTATCTTTATGGTGTAAATCTTGATTTAATTGTTATAAATCAAAGAGTTGAAAGTAGTTGCACAAAAAAATTATTTGAATTGTGTGTAAGGTAACATAATACTAATACTATCTTACTTATTTTAATATAGGTAATTTATACAGAAGATAATATTTAAAATTATTATTCTTTCTGAACTTCTTTGCTCTTCCTGAACTTCTTCACATTAAAGTTTAAATATTTTCCGCATACTCTCTCTCTCTCTCTCTCTCTCTCTCTCTCTCTCTCTCTCTCTCTCCCCCCCCCCCCCAAAAGATCTTTTTACATAATTTGATGCAGTATTTCAATACATACGTTTTATCACTGGTATATTGTAGCTCGACTCTTCCATGTAGTCCCACTAAGATCTGAGGTACAGTAAACACTAATCGAATTGTATGTTCATCTAATGCTTCTAGTATTTGCATAGTTACTTCATTGGAAGGAGATGGGAATCCAGTTATACTTCCAGGTAGAGAAAAACCTGGCGGTACAATGTTATGGTCCATACCTATAATATATCGGAAGATTTATTATGTCTGTAGCAGTAGTAGAAGCCAATTTCTATCTCTTTTAAAATTCACAAATATGCAAGAACATATGGCAAATTATTATTTGCGCGTCAATATGGATTAAATCTTTTCCCGAATATTTTGTTAACAATGGTTGATTACAACTCTTAAAACTCTGTGCCATATTTTCTATTATTTCTGTTCTAATTTCAGACTAAAAAATAAACTGCAACTATATAAATCCAATTCTTTTTAAGAGTTGATGACAATGCATACGAATATCGAAGTATGACATTTCAACAAAAGTTAGAAATAGTTTATGATAGACTAGATATAGTTTATGACTTATATTCAATTAGATAAACTTTTTAACAAAAAAACGTGTTGGCACATTAAAATCGATTCAAAATATATCTGTGTAAAACAACAAAACTAAAAATTAATATTATTTTATCTCTTTGTGCTTTTAATCGTTTCTTTTTTTTACGTTTTAATATAAATTTTGCTCAATTGCTTTTTATAAAATATCTCCTTTTTTTATACTATTTTAATTATTTTAAAAAACGAATTATTTGCTCTAATATTCCTAACTTAAATCTAATCTCACCGTATTTCTTCACAAAGTCCACGATAAAATTTATTTTTATTATTAAGAAATCAGTCTAAATGTGGCTCAGAGAATTAGAAAAATTAATTAAGTGAAATAAGAGATAATGAGCCTGTAAGTTCAATTTAATGATCGTATTATTTCTACAATTATTATCCAAATCTTTTGACTAAGTTTGTACGATTCTATGAATTTTCTAAGTTTTTATGTTCACTGAAGATGATTAAAAAATTTGGACAATAATTGTAAAACTTATAGTAATTAGAGCACGAACGTAGCATACCCATACAGGACCGATTATTGCGGAAAGTTTTCAGAAACGTTTCAAACTTTTACATCTCATATCCCTTGTAGAAAAGTACTATTGAGCACTAGGAGTATTTTGAGGCACTACTGTACTACAGCACTATTGTACTACTATAATATAGTAGTGCAGTACTATAGTAGTGCAGAAGTGTTCAGTAATGCTGAGTAGTGCTAAGAACTTCTATATATCCGCGTTTCGTGCTTTTTTTTTAAATAAAGTTATTAATAGTTAGTTTCTTTATGCATATTCATTTCCTGCATTTTGTATCTTGTCGAAACGCGGATATATAGTAGTTCTTAGCACTACTCAGCATTACTGAACACTACAGTAGTGTAGTAGTACAGTAGTGCTGTAGTACAGTAATGCCTCAAAATACTCCTAGTGCTCAGTAGTACTTTTCTACAAGGGATGCAACAATTCTGAAAGGATTCTGCAATATGTCATATGAAATGTTTTAACAGAAATGTTTCTAAAATCTATCATATGCAATAAATTGAAAAATATATTTAAACAGAACAAAAAATGATTATAATGTTAAAATGGCTCCAAAATCTTTACTAAAAGTCATTTTGTAATCAATCGCGATTCAGTTTAACGTTATTTTGATGTTTTTGTGATTTATTCTACTTTAATTACGAAAAAACTTTTGTATAGAGGAAAGGCACCTAATATGAGATAGCGGCGTTTCTGCTAAACTAATAAACGCTATCTATTGGTTACACCATGAATTTATTGCTCTTGGATCGAAAACTATTTAGTAGAAAATTCATTATTAGATCATGCCTGTATTCATTGCAAAACAAGATTTTAGAGTTTGGATGTCCTCAAGTTTCATTAAGATAGGCTTTTAAACCTTGTTTATTATTTAATAAATAAATATTTGGCAATAAATGCTTCATGTAGTGATAGAGTAAAGTCGTACTAATAGAAAAATACGGGATATGTTGAATTGTTTAATTACAGAAGTTAGATTTGATGATTATAAAACCATAAGGCATGGAAATCGTAATATGAGATATCTAGGGTATCTATAATATGAAATAACCCATGCTCCTATGTTATCGTGAAAATCGTTGCTAAAGTATAAATGTTATTGTACAATAATAAAAAAGACAATCGGAATGAACATCGAGTGCCTATTTCTGCGATGCTTGATTCCAACTATCTGAAGAGTTCTGGGTAAAATCTATCGCATGCTTATTTTTCGCGCACGCTGGTTGTGTTTGTTTGTATTTTGGGAACATTAAATAAAGTTTTTTAGTTGCAATATTGATATACTTTGCGTTTTACTATCGATTTCTCGGGGCATCTCATATTAGGAGCACAATTTTTTGACTTTGCGATTTGCTCACTTTTTACATTTCTTTAATTTAAAAAAAAAATGGAATTTGAATTCAGTTCCCTGTTCCTTTTATTGTGCGGAGCTCCTAACTGCATCTATAAAAATTGCTTTCACCTATTCACTTACATTCACTAACACATTAACAAACTGAAAAATGGCGGCGCCGAAGAGGACTGTTTACGTCCCGACTCTTACTAGAATGACTCTAATCAAGAGTATCTGTTACCAAGAAAACAATTCTCAAATTGTCATTCGGAACCGGCGCGGTTAAATTGTAGGTCCCGTATATCTGTATATGTACCTACATGCGCAACACGAGCATGCGTATGAGAGGTAGACTCTGTCCTGATTTTGGAATGTTACGCCATCGAATGAATGAATGAATACGGTAATTAAACTGCACTTACATCGTGCTAGGCTCATTATCTCTTGTTTTACTTAATTAATCTTATCATTCATTCCTCATCTTCACATGTTTTTATAATTTCAAGATTTTTTAACGATCACGGCAATTGTCTTTAATTGCAAATATGCTGCAATGTATGTTTTTCAAGAGCATTAATGTATAAGTTTCTTATGTAAATACATAAAATTTCTTGAGAAATATATCTGCAGCACATGTGACGATATTCCTTATCGAAACTTAAAATAACTTTTTCTGAAAATGGAATACTATTTGTATATGTAATATATACGTACGTGTAAATAATATTCGTATTAAAAGAAGAATGCATTTTGCAAATTGCATGATGGAAATGCAATCAAATAATAAAATTTAATTTCTTAATTAACTATATAATTGGATTTTTGTATAAGTTTAAATTTTGGGATGTAGTTACAAAGGCATATAATGTTGTGGTTTTATAAATTATGAAAACTTATGTAATCAATAAATGTTGGTAACAAAAGCATTATTTTACTTTTCAGCAAGGAATATCAGCTCATTTCTGACTGCTAATAAAAATTCTGTATATTATTTTTTGTGATGTTCAGGAACGAACCTGATTGACTGGATGTTTGTGCTGCGAGCGGGTGGTTCAAGTGCGTAAGTCCTGAATGTGATATTTGAGCATCTATATGAAGTGGTACAGTTGGCAGTGGACGGTTATTTGGAACATTATAAAGTACAGGTTTTCTGGAATAATCTTGGAAGGGTCCTGGATTGGTATCGTGCTGATTGATGTGTGCTAATAGTTCCTCAATTTGCTGAGGAGTATTTGGAATATTGGGCGTGTGAATATGATAAGTGATCTGCCCATTTTCATCTTTTTGCGAAAAGCTGTGATATTTCGTCGTCTTTTTCGATGTGGTAGGTATCGTTCCGAAATAAACGGATTGCGCTTGATCAGTAGGCAGTTGTTTCTGACCAGAGATTTGTTGGTGAAGGTCATATACACTAGGGTAATCTTGAGGAGGAGTATGATTGAGCTGAATTAGATCAGGATGTTGCGAATTTGTTAGGTGATGTAGTTTCTCTGGTAAAGTCTCATAATCAGGATTTTTTTTATTTTGTTTTGGCCGATCAGACAATATCGAAAATGGTTTTGATTTTTCTGCATCAATAAAGAGATTACTCGATGTGGTCTTCTTTTTTGAAGTTATAGGAACAATCACATTTGGATCGATCAAATCGGATTTAACGGGGATTGAATCATAATAAGGAAGACCAATCGCTGTGTTAACGTACTGGTTATTAAAATTAGTTTGAGAGATGTTTTCTCTATTACTAGAGGTGAATAAAAATTCTGATGCATTGAGATGAGAATGTAACGGGATAAACTGAGCTTGATCAATTGGACGATCTTTTAGCGAAGGGGCTAATTTGTTTAGGTTTAATGAGTTTGATTGATTTTCATTAGGATATGGAAGCATCGACGTGGCTTTATCGGGAAATTTATCAGGTACTAATGGACCAGGAAAATATTGATCAATTAATTCCTTGTGAGGTCTTAGTTCTACAGGCTTTTTCGAATCAAATTTTGATTTTGATTTTTCCCTTGGCTTTACGGAATAAACGGGTAAATGAAAAATGTCTTCTACATTGAGATGAGTGGATAGGTAGTCGGGACTATAAGGTCCGTTATAAGATATTGTAGGATGTCCTGAATCCATAGGATAGTGAGGAAGTCTGTGAGTAGTAGTATCTATTTGGGTTTTATCGGTTTTTGAATTTTCCGAGAAGAAAGAAGTACTGTGCTCCGATTCCTGGCTGGGCTTGAGTATTTCCGACTTGTTATTCGGTCTTTTGATATTGTCAATTGTTTGCTGATCAAACGTGTTTGTAGCTAAGGAGCCGGGATACGCGGTCGTCACGTTCAATCCTGCAATAAGTAAAGTTCCATTGTCACAGAAATTGTCAGTGATCAGTCATGGGTTGTCTAGAATCCATGCATATTTACAGCGGAATTCAATTTAAATATTTCCAATCGTAATCACGGTTGCATGAAGCATGCATTTTGTCTTCATTCAGTTATTGCATTAATTATCAGTGCGAAGTATATATAAGAAGAAAAAAGAAGTAAAATAGTCGGAAAATATAAAAATTTCAAAGAAAGATAACCTAAAGCCATTATAACGCAATAAAAGAAAAGGTGCTATTTAAGTAGCAATTATGCAATTAGCCCGGATCCATATAAGGACAACAGCGCTTTGACACCAAGCGCTGATTAGTAAAAAGTCAATAGTGAGGATAAAATTTACCCCCATCACTCGTTTTTCCAATCAGCGTTCGGTGTCAAAGGATTGTTGTTCGTATGAGGATCCAGGCTTACGTACTCGCTTAATCAGCAGATAAAGTTTTTAAAATTGTTTTTAATTGTAACATTTTTATTTTTTATTAATTATAAACAATTTATTGTAAAATAATATTTATTAAATGTTTATTAATACTTTACACAGTTTATATTAAAAGTATTTAATATCTCAAATAATAGTTTAGGAAAAATATTTATTTAACGTTTATTTTATTAAATATTTATTAAATATTTATTTTACATTTAAATATTTATTAAATATTTATTAAATATTTATTAAATATTTATTAAATATTTTATTAAATATTTATTTTACATTAATTATTTATTTGTAGTAATTTGAAAAAGAAAACATTTATTTAATATTTATTCTCGGAATTTTATTTTCGTAAATAAAAAAAAATCCTACATATATTAGAATAAAAAACGTAGAATGAGATTTTTTACCCATGTTATAATGAAATAATACTGAAATTGAAGGTAAACTCTTAAAATTGGGCTCCAATATGAAATAAATAAAATATTAACAGTTCTCGGTTCTCATTCCTTAAACTATTCATTAAAATGTTAAAAAACATTTATTTATTATTATATAATATTAAAAATACATTTTGTTGAATGTTAAAGAAATGTTTAAAAAAATATTTCTTTGCTAATTGAACGTATGGCAGTTCATTCGGCACGATCTACTTCTACACTTAATTTTTTTATTTACGTAAGATTATATTAACTTTTTGGAAGTAACTGAACATTCAAGATATATTTTTTACTTTATTGTATAACGTTTTAATACTTATGACTTTATAATATAGGCAAGTATGTATTTTATTGTTAGTTAAACATTAATTATACATATATTGGCATGCGTTGAAGCATATTGAGCAAATGTTGCTTAAAAACCAATATAAATTTAATGCAAATATATAGTCAATATCATACATCATTATAACAGTAAAAGGCACAGTATTATGAGATTTTTCATACACATTTTTATTAAATAATAATGAAAGTCGGTTCTAAATTTGTTGCATGCAACTTTTTGAAATATTTTATAACAATAAAATTGCTGTAAGTATTTCTTTCTGATCAACAATTCCTAAGAAATATATTACATTCATTATACACGATATGTATATCATATATTACAGTCAATAATTTTGGCTGGGAACACTGGTATGTGCACTGAGTGCATATTAAAATCGTTATATAATCTGGTGCGCAGGAACGTTAGGCTGGTTCGCCGACTGCTGAGAACGCTCAGCGGAGGCAAAATATATGCTCTACTCCCTTTTCTCGCTACTCACTGTTCGTCTAGGATCTGGATCGGATGCTGGTCGCGCTTGCTTAACGGATTTCGGAGTGCTGGCTCGTTCGGAATCGTGATCGGGAATGAAATAGGATTTTTTGCTCGCGATCGTCGTTTTTATTTTGCGCTTTCGAGTCGTATCGTAATTTCCCGATTTCCCTCAGTATTTTTTCCCAGGACGCGGAGTCGCAAAAAAGTGGTTCTCGGTGATGCTTCAATCGGCGATTTTTGCGCTTGCTTGGCCGAGTTCGGAGTACTGTACATTAAGGTCGTTAACTAAAGATTTGAGCTGGTAACGTTAAGAACGATGCCACAGGGGTGCATCGTTATACATCGTAAGGAAAAAACGAATCACAATGTTTCAAATTGAGATTTGATAAAACGTATATGATGGCCAGACTCTGATTAAAGGGTCTCTAAGTTGTATTTATCTTTATCGCTATCTCGTATAGCCATCGTGATATGAGACAAATACGTATGGAACGCATATAGAGACGTTCTTGCTCATATTTAAAAAATAATTTTTCGGAATATGATTATAATTAGGGCTCGCTATTATAATTTAAACGAATATACGTTTACACATATAATTAGCATATCCGTTTAGAAACGTTTTTCCGAATATACTCAAATAGCCAAGTCTGTACAAAGCAGATTTTTTAAATGTCTGTTACACACTATGCTAACAAAATAACAACAGAATTGTTACAGAATTAGATGTAATACATAATACTGTTGACAGGCTGCTAGAAAAAACGTAACAAAATCGGCAGGATCTGCTCAGTTTCTGTCAACAATTGAGGGGCTGGATTCTATAAGGGGATACACGTGGATTTCGCGGGATAAGTATTGTCCGCAAAGACTAATTTTGGATATCGCTCTAATTTTAATTTTGACGACTGATTCTTGTAGAAAATTTCATAGCGCATCTTTTTTGTCATTAAACCAAATTTGGAATTTTTTTGTTTTCAATTTACCGTATTAGACTAAATATTTCAAATAATTTATTAACACAATCGCCAAAGTTTAATTGTATTTTTTAACCCTGAAGTTCCCCTTTAAAAACATCGCATAGTATTTATCATTCCAAATACTGCGTACATTTTAAAGGATTGAGTATCAATTAGTTGATTAAGAGGTTGGGGAATAAATATTTCGTTTCCATCTATATGTTGTTATTTACCTGGCAGTTGTGCCGAAGGATGGCTGCAGGTCCACTGCGTGCAACATGGATTAGTAGGTACATGCGTCAATGTTGCTTGATGGGAAGGACATGGTAAATATGCAGGTGGTAGGGCTGGTACAAATTTGCAAGCAGCTTGACAGGATACATTGCCCATCTCGCAATAACAACGTCTTTCGCAGCCGGTGACATTCGAAGGTAACACGGTCCAATTGTCATATGTGACTCCTTCATAAGTACAAGAGCCATTGTTTCTACAGTGTACTTCCTAGAATTTGTTAAAACCATTAATATTAGAATATAGAGATTTATTAAGAAAAATTAAACTTTCTTTTAGAATTTTCGTTAAAAATATAATTGTACAAAATTAATATTATATACATAATATCCGATGAAAAATATTATTATTTGAACATAATCTTTCAGCTTAAAAACAAAATTAATGAAAATTTTATGAACATTTCGGTTTTTTAAATATTTTCGTTTTTTCATCAACATTATTTCATACATAAACAAATAAATGTAAATAACTATCAATCTTGGTATAGGCTCCAACGAATAAATCCAACTACTCGCTGAGAAGTTAGCATCCCATTTTTTAAAAATTATTTAAAAATTGTTATTAACTGAATATCGCATTAAAAAATACAGAGAACTCTTCGTCTCGTTAAAAGGCAGTAGGAACTCTAATCAGAACTATTGTATTTAAAAATTGATTTTTCAAAAATTTTTAATTTTTTTTGGATTTTTCAAAATTTTTTTTTATGCAGGAACTCTAGATATTCACTAAATAAAGCTATTGAGCCGCTCAGAACTATTCTAGCTCGAATTTCGATAAGAAGTTAGCACCCCATTTTTTAAAAATTATTTAAAAATAGTTATTAAGCGGAACTCTTGTTATAAATTATAGAGAACTCTTCGTCTGAACAAAAGGAAACTCTGATCAAAACTATGGAATATCAATATTGGGGTACTAACTTAACATACGCCGATAACGGGAATATGTGTAATTATGTGCAAGGAACGATTTATATATTTCTTGTTATGAAAGAATAAATTATATATCAATTATCAAGTTATAATTTAGGAAAAAATGTCAAAGGTGAAGAATGCTATACCTGGGGGCAGCATTGTGGTGCTTTTGGGACAAAATTCGCTGGAACTGTCTCCCAATCTAAACAGTTGGGATCCAACAGATCCAGTCCAAAATCTGTAGGACATTCTATCGTAGCGCATTCAGATTTGCCACCCTCTGTGCAAGTACAGAAAGAGATACACTCATCATACCATTCTGCACCAACTTTATATAATTTTCCTCTGTAATTGCAAGTGTTCTTGTCTGTTACTTTCTCCGACATGTTTGTCTTCACTACTTCGGCTGGCAGAAATACTTGTATGGCTGGCCCAGGTATACTTGTATAGCTTCCTTCTGCCACGCGAACAGAATACGTATGCGCGGGTTCCAAATTCGAAACAATACCATCTGTAAATATATATAAATGTACAACTTTATTTTTCACATAACAAAAGATAAGGAGAAAAGAAACCAAATTCGAAAAATAGGAAAAATTAAAATTGGTTTTTGGAATGTTGTAGGATTGGACAACGAAGATACACAATAATTCTGGAATTATATCAAGGAATTTAACATAATCGGATTGGTTAAAATTTGAATAGAAGGAAAACGCTGGAACCGATTAAAAAAGCACATGCCAAAAAATTTTAATTGAGAACATTAACAGAGAGAAAACAATAAAGGATCAGAGCAATGGGAGGAATCATCGCAGGAATAAGGAAAAACATCAAGGAAGAGAAAGAGAGCAAGGTAAAAAAATAAAGATGGAAGGAATACAAATAAGAAGGGTAATTATAGAAAGACAAATGAAAAGTAACAATATACAATAAGCAAGGAATAATTAAAGTGATAAAAGAAATCAAAATCTTGGCTGAGAATAATGAAGAAAATCTTTTAACGGAGAGAGGGGGGATTTTAATTAGGGATGCACCGGATATCCGAAAAGTATCCGGTATCCGGTATTATCTGACACTTTTTTACTATCCGACCGGATAGTCGGATATTAGTAGTATCCGGGAATATATCCGGTTGAAATTTTATATTGAAAGTTTGCGTCACTCGAAAAGTATATACTTTATGAAAAATAACTTCATTGTAGTGTTTTGAAAAGCTCTTGACACCAGCTATTAGATTCTGGAATAAAAAATAGGGTGTTCTAGTTTTAAAAATCGATGTAACCTTGAGCTGACTTTAGCCACGCCACCCAAGGTTAGACTGACCAAATCAGTGAATAGATCATTTGGAACCCTACAACTCTTGTAAGAAATATTTCTTTTGGAAATGCTTAGTTTTCGAGATATTTCATCGATCCGGGACTTTTTATCTCACCCTGTATAGATATAGTTAATAATATCTTTATATATATTCATTAACAAAGATTTATCCACCTTTATCAAGATTTTGTTGTCTCCATACATGATTGTTCTGTGAAATCTCTATAGTAACATCTTGAGGATTCTTCGTCGATAATTTTAATTTGATAGCCGTTGAGTTTAGTACCTTTACATCCATCAAATGTACATTCAATTCGGTAGAATTCTCTGATTTAACTTCATGTTCGCTCAAAGTAACATCGCAAAGTGTAACTGTGCAACATTTATCTCTAAAAATCAAGATGATTAGCTATTACCTTGTTTGTAAATTATTTAATTTTGCAATTAAATTTGTGTGACACTTAATTTCATTCGTTAAATATCATACCCAGGATCGATTAATACGACACAGCGATCATGCTCATTGGTTACAGTCTCGTTCGGAGGACACTTGGGCCTAGGTTTACACTTTAAGTGGCCGCCAGCTTCGCAGGTGCACACTCTGGAGCAACCGTCTTCGACACGTTGTCCTATAGTCACTGTCTTGTTGTTGAATACGCACGTTTCATTTGATTCAACAGCTACGTCAAATACATATGTATATGTATATATATGTCAATTTTTTTAATGGAACATATTGTTGTAAATTCAAGTGTTGTGCGAAACAATATGAAACTTTCGTCTGAAGCATTTTTTAAAACGCGTGCGTGAGTGTACATGTCAGTACGTGTGAGTACGTGTTTGTATGCGTATGTGCATGCTTGCACCTAGGTGTTTTTGAGCAAGTGTGCTTATTTAAGTAAGGTGTTCAGAGTAATCACTGTTTTCTACGACACAAACATATATCAACGCCTGAGCCATAGAAGGTGCTATATTGAGAAAAACACGAAGAAGGGTTTATGTCAAAAAAGTAATGAAAAGTAGTCTATCCCGGGCGAGGCGTGAAGACCGGTCTATGTCGGAATACATGCGAAGTACGGTTTATATCGAGAAAAGCAAGAAGAACAGTTTATGTCGCATGATTTTGAAGAAGGGTTTATCAGGGTTTATATCGCGCTATGTTATCTTTTCATAAATTTTGTAGTGTCTAATGGTCTAATGACTTAGGACACTCGTACGAAATACAAGAGATCCGGGTTTAAGTCTCGGCCGAGGTAATATGTTTCGCAAAAAATTTATTTAAGGTTTTCAGCACATTGTCAATTTAATTTAACTTGTGATATTATTGCAGTAGTTTAATTGCGTTAGATAAAATCCGGAAAAATTTCGGCGAGCAGTTTGAATAACTACAAAAATATGATATATATGCATGTACAGGGTGTTGCAGATACATGCTAGGCAGTACGACGGGTTGCGCGGCAAACTTTGCATGGCCAAGCGTGGTTTAATAGACAATGACAGTGACTTTATACATTATAAAGTTTATACTACAAAGTTTTATTATTTATATTATAAAGTTTATGTTATAAAGTCACAGTCATTGTCTATAAAACCGCGTCTGCCTATGCAAAGTTTACCACGCAACCCGTCGTACTGCCTAGTATATATCTGCAACACCTTGTACATATATAGGATATAGATAATTCACTGGGAATTTCACAAATTAAATCTTGTATTTGAAATTATTTGTAGGAGATTATTATTTATTTCTATTAAAATGTTATTTACACTCTTGATTGATCACAAAATATACATATTCTCTAGTAGGAAGAACATTAAGTAAAAGACTGTTGTTGGAAAATAATCTCCACAATATTTGGAGTTTTCTTTGTAGCGTATGTTGAAAGAAAATAAGTTGAAAACAAAGACATGTATGTACAAACAAATTTTCCTTTATCAATCTTTATAATTGTACTTATTTCATTATTCGCATCCATTCCCTCAAATTTCTGATTTTTTCATACTCAAGTTACGTGAAGATCATTGTATTATTGGTCATTGGATTCGTCTCAATCTTACGCTATTATGGTAGAAATATGTAGTCCTATTAAAAAAAAATCGATAATCTTGAAATCTCTAAGAACCTTGATAGCCAAGCATATTTTGCAAAATCATGCAATTTAATGCTGAGTAAAAATTTTCGACTAGTTACTGTGTATTTGCTGAAAAATGTAATATATAATCATATGTATTCAACAACACGAGGGCAGATTTGAAACATTCAGATTCAGAGCAAACGGAGAAATACTGTTGCTCATTTTGTTGTCAACAAAATGACTTCCATTCATGGAAAACTTTTGATTTCATTCATCGTTGACAGCAAATACACAGCAAAATGGCAGCAACATATGTTGAATTCACGTGATGTCATACCACAGGCAAATGACTTATACACCTTGTTCTAAATTTGTTGAAAACTAATATGCTTTATTTTCGGCAACATGACAGTAACAACACAAACAGGTGGCTATCAGGGAATATGACTGAGAAAAAAATGATTTCCATTATAGTATGTGTTCTTTCGAACTAATCAATTTATGCTTTAGACATTTCCGCGTACCATTAACAATAACGGAGATATTGCCTTGTAACAGAGTTACTGACACACCCTTTATAAATAGTTTATGCCATTTGTGATGTTGCTTATACATATATTGTACGTATAATAATTACAAACTGTGAAGTATAATATAATATGTATAATTTTTTCGTTCTATCTATATACAGCAGATAATATGCAAATTAAAATGTTAATAAGTGTCTATAAATAAATTAATGGAACAATAAGAAAAAATAGAGTCAAGCAAAAGACATACCTAAACCTGCAGGACAGAAAATAAGGGCGCAACATGGTTCTTCAGCAACCAATTTTTCTTGACACATATGATCCTTAAGCTCTCTGCCTACTTTAACGTAAGGATAAATACATAACGGTTGACAATTCGTAATTCCACTCTCGGAGCATATGCATTTCTCTTCGCAGTCTCGGACAATGTTTTCACCTACTGAGTAAGTGCGATTTCCATGGATACATATTGATGCTTTCGGAAACAACATCGAAGAAATGTTTATGGCAGTTTCGTTATGTGGTGCGATATACTCTCCGCCTAGAGACAATTGATCAGATTATTTAAGCTCTTGACGAAGACTCTCTTGAGAATTTTAGAAATGATTTCCAAGATTTTCCAAGATAGAAGCTATACATTTCGCGGATTATCTCAGTGTCCATGTCCATTCATGGAATGCCAACATTTCATGAACGCTACAGTTTATTTCATCAAGGCATTTATGTTATTTATGTTTCAACAATATTTATAATATTTACCTTCAATTTCTTTGTCATTCTCATCCATGCTGATGTCACTGAGATCCGTGATATTAGCGTGCAATGAGTTCATTGGCTCTGAAGCAGTGACATTTAAGTCTCTGCCTCTTGATGACATTGTCTCTTCCGTCATTGGAATTGCCACTGTCTTACTCGTCGTATTCTGGACAGCACGACTAGTTGGTAATATCGTCTTTGTTACAGCGACTATTGGTACTCCATGAAGAAGAAAGGGAGTCGTTATATTCATAGTGTCCATAGATTTTATTATCGCTGAAGATTGATCGATTTTTGTCTCAGGTAAAATCGTAGGTAACATCGGTGACATTACTGAAGTGTTGGAGTCTACAACCTCCTGCGAGTCATCATTGATGATGGATTTTTGATACTTTTGATCGCCTTTGACTTTAAAGTCCGTTACAGACTTTTTCTTAGCTTCAGTTGTAATCTTGATATCAGCTTCTTTTGCTGGATGTACACTTTTTAATTCTGTTGTATCATTCCGCCATTCTGTACGAACAGACTGCACTCCTAGAATACCTTCGCCATTGTTATCTATTAGCAAAAAGAATATAATGTTTACGAAATTTAAATATTTAGTAAAATTATTAGAAATATTTTACTTCTTTGAAATTAATAAATTTTTAATGTACATCCGACACCCCCTCTCCCCCCCCCAAAAATAATAGATATCGTCTATGGAAGTCGAAAAATATTGTGTGGCGACTCGCCACTAGAGGTCCACGGGACTCACTCGGTTCGCGTGAGCACCGCAGCCACGCGAATTCCCTTTAAATAGAAACATCGTTCTGGATTCATTCCAGGCGTCTAAGGCGAGCCCCACACTACATCGCCTTACTGATGAGTCTAGTAGTGTGGGATCAGGACGAAACGCTGCGGCCGACCACAAAGCTTCGAGTCAGGCCTCCTTAGTGGACATCCACAATTGCGTTTTTGAATTGTATAATAGTAGCTATAGAAGAACACGTTATATTTTTATACACGTGGACTATACCAGCTTTCTCAGATTCAAGCAGCTATTTTCATACACAGCCCTGATGGAAAAATTTCATTGAAGTTATTCCACGTTTTGGAACACTTTTTGGCAAAATTTTAGCATTTCAGAAAAATTTCATCAAAAATTTCAGAGAAATTTTAACAAAATTTCAGAGAAAGAGTGATGGTAAATTTCGCCTATTTTTGGACCTCGAATTTAAAACTTTTTTTTTATGGCAAATAGTACTATTAGATGAAACATTAATCCCAGTAAAATTTCAAGATGAGCATAGGCACGATTCCCGAGATACAAGGGGGTGAAAGTGATGATTTCCAATCAGGGTGTATTGCATAAGGATGAATGTGTGGCTAAAGTTCATTGGTAATATTGAGGGTATATTTTGTCGAACGGATCATCTACGACTCAATGTTCAGAGAATGATCTACTATTAACCGCTATTTCATTTATGAGGGGATTCATATAACGACAGTTGTATGGTTCTTTGGATTTGCTCAATATCATGGGATAAAAATACCCAATCCTGAAATATGCAATGTATCTATCACGGTTTACAAAACAACCTTGCATAGTGAGAGGCAAGGGGACTCACATTAAAAAAGCACCCCGATCTGTGAGAGGCGGCGTCAAGTGTCACTTCAATTCCATCTATCTCGGGGAATTTTCATGCTAGACGAAAACTAAGGTCATATTTGAATCCGGCGTAAAAAATCTATAAGAAACGAAGAGATTGATTGTAGAATAAGAAATTGTTATTATGGATGGTTCTTTCTGAGGATGACTTAAAAAGGAGTCAAAACGTCAATTTTTTTTCTATTGTATTGCGCTCGTTGAAATCAAATCAAAGTTTATGTAATAAACTAAATAAATATAAGATAATAGCACTAATAATTGACTCCCACAACCGTTATTATTATTTTTTTATTAGGTAAATATTGTTTGGTATTTATATTTTTAGACATTTAATAAATTCAAATAAGTAAAATTATTCTTAATTAAACTTTCATGGAATAAGACGGTGTACAATTGTTATACTGAGTAACTGATATTGATACAAATAAATATCTCACGAACTATACTATTGCGAATCATACATAAAAAATCACAATACCAGAACTGATTTTTTTTAATTAGTTCGACGTAAATATTGCAAGGGAATCTGAGAAAACCGGGCGCCTTTTCTACGCAGTCATTAAGGTCTCCGGCTACTTCACGCAAACTTACGTTTCATTCATTGCCTTAATGAATGCGCCTTATTACTCAAATGAAATAAAATGCATATCCCGATGAATGTCTTATTTAAAATTAAGAAGTAAAGAGTCTAAGGAAATTATAAACTTCCCTTTTTTCCATTATTAGTATATTTACACTTTTATTTACATATAACTCAGGTGTATGTATATTATTTTAAGGGATTTAAAAAGCATAAAAAAATATCTCTTTAAAAAAATCTAATTTTTTAGACGTAGGAACTGTTAGAAGATTTTAGATTCAGGAATTTAAATAAAATAACTTTTAAAAGGGAGATAAATACCCCCTCCCCTCCTTTTAAATTTTTTTATGAATTATGTAGATATAATGATCATAAGAAGACAAGATCTTATTTTTTAAGACTTTTTGCAAAGATGTGATATTTTTTACTGGTACTGCTTTTACTGTACATATTAACAATTTCAATATTATAATTAACATGCCCATTTTTGAGCAACTTTTTGTTTATGAAATATGATGATCTTTGAAAATACTTCCTTATACTAAAATTTGTTATCGCTATTTTTTATTAATATACAATTCAAGATACTTTCTTCAATCAGAATGAGTTTATTCCTTGAGAGCTTACCGGGTAACGTAGTAATTTCAGTATTGACGGCTGTTAAGGAAAAGGTGACTCTGCCTAAGAGGCAGAGACCCAGCAAGAAACATCTTTTCTGGATGCGCATCCTACCGCATTCTTCTATACAGATATATATTCATAAACACTCGTTCGTTTATGCGCACTCACTAATTCTTCAACAAAAAGATCAGACGATCAAGAAAAAAATACGAATCAAGAAAAAAAATATAAATTCACGTTTTAATCCTCAGTGAGCTGCTGCTCGCGATCAACAACGCGTGAACCAACAACGAAGGAACAACGGACAATCCGTGACTGACTGAAACGAGTTTCAGAGTCCTGAATAGCGAGGAGAGAAAGAGAGAAAGAGAGAACAATCCACTTCGTATGTACGTATGTATATGTCAAGGGGAGAAAGACGGAGAAAGAGAAAGAGAGAGGAGAGATTAGAAAAAAAAGAGAAAGAGAGAGAGGGAGAGAGAAGAAGGAAGGAATTTGTAGTTTATAATTCTCGAAACACTGTCGGAGACACCGCTGAAAGCACGCGTGTACGGTGACCGATTGACTGCCGCTCTCTCTCGTTTCGTTGGCGATCCGTGCCGAGGCCGGAGCTGTAGTGCTATACAACGGTGAACGGGATTCGCCTTCTTTGACGAGTTTCGTATTGGCCTACCTCTTCTTTGTGTGTGTCTTCTACCATGAGCCGTACGGCCACATTAACCTTGCTACAGGTCGTACATATTTGTACTAGCACCATATAAACCTCAGGCTTAATATGCCAAATTATTTTTTTTAATTTTACTGTATTTTGTTTAGAAACCCGAAATCGTGACCACTATTCAGACAGCATAAAATATTTATGACAAATATTTATGACAAATATTTGTAAATATTCTATTTGTCTTTTTGAAATATATATATAAATATTTTATATAAGTTTAATTTATTCGAGAAATATTATAATATACAGATTAAATATTTTATATATAATATCTGTAATATAGTTATAAAGAAATATTTCTAATATACAGTGCCAGCCAAAAGTTCTAGGTCACCTAAATAACTTCTGAGTGGTTCGAAATATAGGATTGAAGCTTATAGAAATACAATGGAATAATAAAATCTTATTTAATCTTGAAAGTACCTACCTTAACGAAAGGCGGGGGAGAAAAGGATTGGATAATCTTAAATGACATATTGATCGAGTGAGAGTTCGTTTGAAAGAGCTTTCCGAAAGGAGAACAATGTAGAGTAGTCTTCTACGACTTTTTTCACATTATCGAAATTTTGTGGTAATAAGGGCCCACGAGAAAGGTAAGGATTCTTGCGGGCACGTTTTCTGAGTGACGTGTTTCTGAGTGGTCATGGGGGGGGGGGGGGGGGGGGGGGGGGGGGGGGGGGGGGGGGGAAATGACGTGGACAGAGATTTAATGCAAATGAAATGAGTTTACAATGAAAATTTTATTTAAATTTCTCATAGTAGACAAGTATAATGGACAAGATAATGTCGCTCTTTGAAGGAACATTAATTACCGCATTTCATATTAAATATCGCAGACATACGGGTATTTGAAAAAGTAAGTACTTGATCTTTGAATATTTAAAAGACATTCGGCTTTCGAAAAAAAATTGTAAAGTGCCATATCGGACGGAATGGTGAAACGAAATTTGGCAAATATTGAAAATAACGGACCTGATAAAATTGATCTTGACATATATGTTGTCAAGGTTATGACCCTGAGTGACCTCCGACAAGTTTTAGTTGGCGATCGTCCCTCCTTAAAAAGTTATAAACAAAAAAAGTTTAAGAAATAACGTCACATTTCCGCCTCTCCCCATATAATTTTGTTGGTAAATATTAAAACCAACGGACTCAATTGCCTTGACCTTGACAATACATTTTTATTAAATAAATTGTAACGATTGGTCAATATTGTTTGTGCACTAATAACGCTGTACTCTAATTAGCCGTTTTTCCTTGATGTTTTTATTAATCTGTTTCGATTTGATTTTAATAATAATGCATGATGTGTATATTAGATTAGGATCTGAATGTGCAATTAAATTGAACTTCTTTTTGAACTTCTGAGTAGTAAGTCGGACTTGTATATCTCCTATCAATTTTCTGAAATTCGAATTTTAGGGCTAAAGGATAATAAAAGTTCTCTCTTTGTATTTAAAGTTACTTTGTGCTATCTATTTTTCTCATTTATTTAATTAGAATCTGTTAAATCGAAGATTTCTTTAATTGAAAATTTTTACGAGCATGAGCCAAATGCTTTCGATATAATATAAAGCTAATCTGATCTGAACTATGTGATAAATCAGTTCGTGATGGTGACATCAGCACAGCTTCTAAACGTTTCTTGGGGGCCACAACCTACGCGTTGTGCTCCATCTTCACAAGTTCCCCAGGAATTCCCAGTATTATAATGCCACCTAATAAAAAAAGAATCAATCTTTATATTATTTAATTTACATATTACATTATTTTACATTATATTATTTAATTGAATTAAAATCAATTTTTTTCAACGAATTTTAATTTGTAGCGCAGTCATAGGCTGCATTCAGTAGAGAAAGCAGCTTTGCAACTGTTGTAAAATTCTTCAATATGATTGGTCTATACATTTAGATTTGTAAGGAACCAAAAGCAAGAATCAATCGTATTGAAGAATTTTACAACAGTTGCAAAGCTGCTTTCTCTGCTGAACACAGCCATTTTTTCGTAGCATATGGAAATTGATATATCAAAAAATATTACCTCAGTCGGTAATCGTACCCGGATCTCTCTGTATTCCGTCTGCCTTGATTTAAAGGCTTAGGACGTTTATACGGAATACAGAGAGATCCGGGTTCGACTCCCGGTCAAGGTAATATTTTTCGCAATAAATTTATTAAGAGTTTTTCAATATATTAACATCTTTATATGATGCCTGATTGCAGCATCAAATTATTAAAATTGCTTGTCAATTTAATTCACAATTACTAGAGTAGTTTATTTGCGTTTATAGAATCCGAAAAAAACAATTCAGCTCGCAGTTTAAAAGACTAATATCTAGCTATGAATACTAATAAAACGAATGCTGTTCTATAACCGTTGTAAGTCTTCTTTACTAAAAAAAAAACTATTTTCAATTTATTTATGAAAAAAATATATTTTAACTATATATATTCCATGTTTTTGACAACATTTATATTGTTCAGATTTGTCAAAGCTGTACATCCATTAACATTCAGTGTTCGTGGATAACTGAAGTAGAAGTTTCCGTACAATTGCAGAGATCAAGTAGTACTGAATGTTGTACAACTTAGAATAAAAGTTGATTAAAAGTTGATTAATGAAATTCGTACTCGAATTCAAGCAGACATGTTTTTTTGTCTTAATTTTATCGTGTATATTATTGTGGAATATGATGCTAATCAATAATACTTATTTTAGCAATAAAATTGAACTAATTATTTTTTTACCGAAATTATACATATATAATGTTTATTAAATATTTCATAATATTTATCACAACATTTACGATAAATACTTCATAATATTTGTGATAAATTTTTATGACCTGTACAATCTAAGACCACAAAAGTATTTACAAAATATTGTATAAATATTTAAATAAATCTTATAAATATTTTTTTAATATTTTATAAATATTATATGCTGTCCGGGTATATTTTATCAAACACAAAAACTTTTTTAATTTTTAAAATTCATATAGTTTCCATTAAATTTCAATTAAAGTTATTAAGTAATTAGACATTAATAACAAAATAATTGAACGTTAATAATTAATTTAAAATTCCGAATTAATAATGTTAAAATTAAACAAAATGAAATTGTTTTCAATACCAACCTAAGCACACATTGTTTACACGTAACATTTTTTGGTAGGATCAGGCTGATAGTGTATTCCTTTGCGACATTGACGGCAATGGGATATCTATAGCCTTTACCGTCAGCCCTTGGCAAGGGATACGTATTGAAGCATTTATCGGTTTCTAACTCTTGATTCGACTTCAGTGGACATAGGCTGAATTCAAAGTAACCCAAGTGAGCAGCAGTGAGTTTAACCGTCACATCGATGGTAGAACCTGCCTTATATCTACGTAAATGAAATATAATGTAATATACGCATTGGCAGTATAATAGTAGTCTAGTATAAAAATATATATTACAATTTTAACAGACTTTCGATACCTTTAGAACATCTAAATATATACCCAATAAAAGAGACGTATCTATATCTATTATAAAGATTCTTACACTTATTTAGAGATTGAGACAATCCCTTAAGATTAAATCAGATCGTAATTAATTTTGAGTGAATATCATTAGAATTGTGAAATAAATCAAAGAATATATTAAATTCGTATAAAATTATCTTTTTTGAAACATAAAAGCCAGCATTAAGGACATGTGCTCCTACGTACAAAAAATTCCGGTAAAAAATTTTTCACGCATGAATATGTATAAATATGTATAAACATACACATAAACACGTATAAATATTCATAGACATGTATAATTATATATGAAATATGTCCATACATCTTTTGTAAAATTACTTTTTAGCGTAATAGAAATAATAATAGTGAAAACATAAAAAATAATTAAAGGGATAATTTTCGCATTGTTTATTTTAGAAAAAAACAAGTTTGGAAAAATGTAAAAAAAATACTCATACATAATTATGCATAATTTTATATATGTAATTATACGTAAGTAATTTTTTTACATTTCTTCAAACTTGATCTTTTCTAAAACAAATAGTGCGAAAATTATCTTTTTAATTATTTTGAATGTTTTCACATTACTATTATTATTCCAATTATTCCAAATATTATGACAAGTTACTTTTCAAAGTGACTCTAAATTCTAACTTAAGCACAACCTCAGCGTTTAATTAGTTAGCGTTACCGTCATAAAAAATTGCAACATCGTCATCAAATTGTTTATTATAAAAAGTAACGCCAAAGTAACTGAAAAGTAACGTTTCCCAATTCTGGTTTTTTTAATTATAGGTTGATTTGTTAGTACAGTGTTATTATTATATACGATTTACTTACTTTTGAACAATGACACCTGTTCCATAGATGCCGCCATTTTCATTTGGCCTCGGTCGAGATAAGGCATAATTGTCACCACATTCTCCGCACTTTCCACCATTTGTCCCGTGTTGAATCTAATAAAAAATTATATCTATTTTTTAAACATCACTTAATATACATCTTTTTTCATTTCTGATGAAATTGCTTCCCATACAGCGCAGAAAGATTACAAGAAAATTAAAGGAATATTTCATTGAAAGGTTGAAACATTGTAAAATGGTTGCAAAATA